CCCCCCCCCCCCGCGTCGGTTCACAGTGATGGGGTGGTCGAGGCAGGTGACAACTGACACTCGTAGATATCTTCTGCGGTACGCGCTGCATGGTCCATAGTCCTATCCGTTCCCCCGTCACTCAGTGCCTCTCCTTCCCACTCTCCCGTTCACTGCTCCTGGTCACCATTGGGGGCACGGCCCCCTTGCAATCCTTCTCCCTCGGACGGCTTCCTCTTACCTCGGGGAAGAGCTGATCCTCCCCAGTCCCGTGCGCCGAACAATACTTCTCCCTCTCACAGGCCTGTCCCGCGTGTGACCAGCTGCTTGCGGACCCGTGCGTTCCTCAGCACACGCTTCGAAAGTCGAAGAGGTCCTGATCAGCTGACGCCAGCAGGGACGATATCGTGGTACGCATATTGCGTTACATTTCCGCTCTACCGACAATCTCCACAATTTCGGCACAGCTACCGCCGGTTATGCTTTCTCTGTCATGAAGGCAGGGGGAGTTGTATAGACGCCGAGCTGATTAAACAGATGAGAGCTCTCGCCCCTACGACGGACTACAAGGCTGTGAGTCAATGCTCGAACGCGGGTCCGCGGTATCGGCTCAAGACACCAGTCGATCCTCGCAGGACTCACACCGTCCGTGATCCTTGAGATCGCTGCGCGGTGAGCAACAGCGCTCGGCGTGTGGCTTCGCTACGCTTGCTTCTCTGACGCCCCCACACAGCGCAATGAGCTTCTGGACGTATCAGACTTCCCAGGAGAAGTGAGCACGCGCTTGCCAGGTAGGAGCATCGCTAATCTGGCTTTCCAGCGCGTACCTCTCCTTGATGCTCGAGAGGAGCGAGGAGGCCAAGTGCGGGCTCGAGTCGCAGTTGAATCATTGTAAGCACGAGGTGAAGTGCGCGGCTGACCTCGAAGGTCAGGGAGAACTTCACAGTGAGCGGGAGCTTCGTGAGCTCAGTCACTAACAGACAGACGCCCGATCCAAAATCGCTGGTGAGTGTCTCTGCTTGAGGCGGGCGCTCACACAACGAGGTCTCCTCGCGGAGTTGGACAACGCTCAGCGGAAAGCACAGGATACGACGCAAGCTGCCAGCGAGAAGGACAGGGAGCTCAGCAGGCTGCGCGGCAATGTCAACGACGTCAGCTCCATATTTTAGGATACCGCGGTGGCTGACCTTTGGCCACCGTGGTGATGCGCCGAACCTGAGACTGAAACTTGCCTGCAGGTGAAACGTCGCGCGCCACTCGGATCCGCGGCGCAGGCGACGGAGCACCTCCAGCCCCGGTTGTCCACCCCCATCGCGCACGGTGGAAAGGTTGTCGTTTCTGCACGGTCACAGAGCACCCCGCATACCCAAGCCCCCCAGCCCTTCGTTCCCACACCAACGCACAATCCGTTCTCCAGATCATACCCAACCGTCCCTTCCTCCACCGCGCGGTATTCCGCGCCGCCGCACGCACCGTTCGCCCTCCACGAGCGGGTCGATACTTCGAACAGGAGGGTCCCGCACGGTATCGGTATCAGAGCGAGGACGACCGGTAGCCAGAAGTCGGTAAGCGAGAATGGGAGCAGTAACCGGCGTCTCGGGACCGGTGGGATCGGCGGGGCGTTCGTCGATGGACGGCAGAGGCAGGGGCGCGGGGGTACGTGGAGAGAGCGGTCTTGCACTGAATGTATCAGCCGTCTCGACACCGTTTGCCGGGCGATTCTGAGCATCAGCAGTGGCTAGACGTTCCAATATGCGGAGAAGGACTTGGGTGGTCGGATTATGGCATCCTTCCCGAGCACGCCCGACAGGCGAAGCACCATGCGAGGTTGGCGGAACGAATGATTAGATCCTGATATTGATTGTTCCTACTTTGGGGTCTCGACGGTAACGATCATGCACCACATGGCGCTTCTATTGAACAGCCACAATGAAGCTTCAGACGACATCCGTTCGAAGAGATCAGTTGCATTAACAGGACTTCCTTCATGATACAAAAGTCACAGACCACTCTGGCGATCGAGATGGCGGTGCCACATTCACGTTCAGAGTATTCAAGTTCGGTTCCCAGTTCCGAGACGCGGATGTTGGCGGGAACTGAGAACTTCTTGGCGTTACCACGGAAGAGTAGTGGACATGATTGTGGGGCGGAGCAGAGTCCTGTGAGTACAACGCTGAGCAAAGATGAGTCAGAGGCTGAGATGTACGGCGTGGGTGGCGCTGAGTGGAGGTGGTATCTCAGTCACCTCACGCAGCCCACCACAGGTGTGTGGCGGAAGGTTGAGCATGTACACCTCGCTCGCTACACACTAATCGTTTCCTTTCTTATTTGTCCTACACTGTAGAATGGGCCACGATGCCTCTATGGAGAGGACTGCTACCTCAGACTGGACAAGAAAGGGGTGCGCGAAGCCGAGGCTCACTGGGGGACAGCACGGACTTTCCGCTCAACGCTTACCGGCAATCAGCCTTTCACCTCGTTCCACAGCCACTTTGGAAGCTTCTGCTTCTTTCATCCTCGACGAGCGTGGTGCCCAACAGCCTTCAGGACGCGACCCCTACAGGCAAGAGACCAAAAACAGGGCCACAAACCCCAAACAGCCTCCAAAAAATGTTGAGAAGAGTGGGATTCGAACCCACGCCCGAAGACTAGTGTCTTATCCAAGATTTTATCACAAAAGCCTGAAACTAGCGCCTTAGACCACTCGGCCATCTTCCCGGATTCTCTAGAACGAAAGAGAAGATTGAGATCATTGATATTGAGCGAGAAAAAGAAATGGAAGTTGGTGAGGGTGGGTCGGGGGGGAGGATGGTGGGTGGTGCCACATTTGCCGGTCACAGCTTTTTCCTGGTATGTACGTGATCACAGACCTCTCCCCCGTCCTGCTCATATACAGCGTGCACAGATCCGGTGAGGATTGACTGAGAAAAAGCCGGTCAAAGTGTGTTTGAGGGGGGAAGGAGATAGAGATGGAGGTGAGTGTGGCGCGGCCACACTATTTGGTGGGAGCGGGATCAAATTTGTCATGAGGCACACAGCTTCCTTTATTCGCTCGGCTCTGATCCTTAGCATCCAGGCGTATGCATGCGCGTTCTCATGGCCGGACACGGGATATAGAGCATGATCGGGGGAGCAGTGGCTGGTTCGAACGATGATTATTGCACGAGTCGAAATGTGGGCGAACAAAGAGAGGGAGTGACGGTGTGGAAACCCGTCACAGATGGCGGTGTGACCGGAGATGGGGCAATGAGTACGGGAAACATGTCGCTCAAAGAGCTTCGCCATGGTTGGAGAGAGCTGGAGAAATCGTGATACACTGATACTTCTACTTCCCCCCCTCCCCTTCCCTGGCCCTCCCTACCCTCGATTTCTCAACATCTTAAAGGCCCCAAGAGCGTGTAAGAGGGAGTGTACGATTCAGTGGAAGCAAATCCCAACTGAAGGGGTGGAGGCAGCTCCACCCATTCACTCTTGCTCAACCTGTGGAATCTGAGGAGGAAGTAAGAGTCGGCGTTCTTTGAACAGACAGGTATATGTATAGTGTGCATGCAGATGTCTACGGTCTCTCCCATCTACGCCCCGAGCGAGCCACTGTGCCGCGAGAGGACTCTCGCGGCAAAAGTGCTCACGCGACGGTGACCCTCCCCCCCCCTTCACCCCCCCCCTCCCCCCCGCGCCCCCCGCTGCCCCCTGCGCATCACAGCCGCCTCGCCATTATATCGTCCATATCCAACGTGTCTCCCCACGTGAACTCGTGGCTTCCAATCCTCTCAAACCCGAACTTCTTGTAGAACGCGACAGCTCTCTCGTTCTCCGGCAAAACACCCAGCCAGACACTCTCGTATTTCTGCTCCCTGGCCCAGTGCAACGCCCTGTCCGCCAGGGCTTTTGCGACTCCTCCGCCGTGATGTGTCGTGTCGACGTATATCCGCCTGATCTCCACTGGCTTTGGCCATCCCTCGAGACAGTCCTCCCACGTGTTCTTGGCGATATAAGTGAATCCGGCTATCTCGCCTGCTACTTCCGCGACGAGCACGACGAGGTCGGGGTTTCCGATGTCGGAGAGGATGACGGAGGGAGTATAGGCCGAGTCGAGATACCAGACCATGTTTGCGGGAGAGGTGATGCTGGCGAATGTCGCGCCGAAAACGCGGCGGCCGATGGAGGCGATGGCGTCGGCGTCGGATGAGTCGGGGCGGGCAAAGCGGAGGAGCGGGGCGGGACGAGAGGAACTCGAGGAGGTGGAGGGGGTTGTGGAGCCAGAGGGCTCGCCGGGGTGTTGTCCGTCCACGCCGGCTTCTACGAGCCTGGCATCGGTGCGGGCGGGGCTGGACATGGAGGAGAGGCGCGGCGAGGTGGCTTGGGTGGGCGCGGGTCGTTCTGGCAGGTCTGAGCACGAGCACCTGGTTTCGGTCGATGGGAACTTGGTTCTTGTAGATCTAGGCACTTGTATTTGGGCAGATCAAGACGATGGAGTCGGGTCGAGATTGAGTCGAGATTGCTACAGTATACTCGCTTAAAGAAGTGTGCACGTGACCTTTCAGGCCATGTCGATCGCTGATGACCGAAGACTCTCGCTACGGCTCGCTCGGGGGCCGGTCGTCCGGTGACAACCTTCGTTGCCGTTGCCGAAGGTTCGTCGCATCGCCATCGCCATCCCATCCGTCGTCTTCACACTTGGCCTAGGCCAAACTCCAACTCCTCCATTTTCACTCGACTCATACATCCTCTGCAGCCCTCCTCCCCCGCTGCAACCCCACCGTCCAGCATCACGCCCCGCCGCCGCCGCCATGTCGCCTTCGCCGATCTTCGCGCCCGACGGCCGACCCATGTACACCATCCCCATCGCTGACCGGCCGCCCCACGGTCCACTCTCCACCAAGATCTTCTTCCCACTCTTCTTCAACCTCGCTCAGCTGGGCATCAACTCTGCGCAGTTTGCGAGTCTCCCGTTGTTGCTCATCCCGTTTGTTGGTCGGAGGCTGTATGACGCGGCGATCGACTGGACCAAGGACGGGTATGGGCGGTTACGTGAGTGAACCTCTGACATGGGCATCAGCACTGGGACCTTTGTCCCACCGTGCGACTCGCTCATGGAGTCGATCCGTGTCACCCGCTGATCCCCCAGTCATCCTCATCACCGTCCTCTTCGGACCCACCTCGCTCGTCCTCACCACCGACACCCCTCCCGATCTCGCCGACCTCGTCGAGCGGGATGACCACGGCAATATGACCCGCATTAATCTGCCGGACCGGCTGGTGATCATGTCGAACCACCAGGCGTACACCGACTGGATGTACATGTGGATCCTGGCCTGCTATGCTGGTCACGCGAGGGGTCTGACGATTCTGCTCAAGGCGAGCCTGAAGAATATCCCGGTGGTAGGGTGGGGCATGGTAAGTGCGGCGATTCATCGCGTATTCATTCCGCTATGATCGTCGATGACAACGCTGACGACGGCGCAGCAATTCTTCCGCTTCATTTTCCTCAATCGGTCATGGGCGGCTGACCGCGCCAACCTGACCCGCTCCCTCACCCGCCTAGGTCGCAAGGCCCGATCGTCCGACGAGGCGGCTCCGAACGGTGTCGTCGATGGCAGCGGAAAACCTGCGAATGGCGCCGGCCCCAATGCGGATGGGGACGAAGCGGCGAGTCTGCTGAGCCGGGCAAAGGAGGGGCGAACGCCGTTGTGGCTGCTCATCTTCCCAGAGGGGACGATTACGAGTGACGAGGAGAGGGCGAAGAGCGTGCGATATGCCAATAGGGAGGGCATCGTGAGTGGGAGAGGCACTGGTCTTAGGGCAATAGTCCCGAAGGTGCCGTGGGCGCGACGCAAACCGCTGACGGTCCCAGCCCGACTTTGTGACCATGCTGCATCCGCGTTCGACCGGGCTGCTCTTCTGTCTACGCACATTGTTGCCGCAGATCCCCGACATGCAGTTGCTGGACGTCACGATTGGTTATCCCGGCGTCCCGTACGGAAAATATCCTCAGGAATGGTACGTAGCGTCTCCATCGAAACCCAACCCGTTCTCAATGCACTGCGGCACTTTGCTCTCGCACTCGCGCTCGCGCTCACGAGCCACCCCCAGGTACGGCCTCGGCTCCATCTTCTTCAGCTCGGTTCCACCACCAACAGTCCACATCCACCTGCACCTCTACACCGACCTCTCGTCCCCTTCCAGCCCGATCCCGTCTCTCCGCACGCCCCAACTCGCCCACCCCTCGCGTCCACCCACACCCGGCTCCGTCCCCGCCGACATGGGCGTGGCGTCCCCCGAAGAGGCGCGCGCGTTCGAGCTCTGGCTCCGCGGCGTGTGGACGGAAAAGGAGAAGAGGTTGGGTCGGTTCATGAAGACCGATCAGAGGTTTGTGGGGGATGGAGGAGAGCAGGCGAGGGAAGTGGTTCCGATCCGCCAAGTGTGAGTGGCACGCCAAACAGCTCAACGGTTTTGTTTCCTCGGACCTGCGAGGCTCTTACAGACTATCGAGTCTGAGCTGGGAGACGACAAGGCTGACCATAGCAGCAAGTGGTACCACTGGATCGCAGCGTTTGGAGGCGGTGGCATGGGTACGCTCGCCGTTGCTTGTGTTGCCCTCTGGGGAATCGTCACACGAGGAAGTTATCCATGATGGCGGTGGGTCTCCATCCCGGCGCGACGGCGTAACAATTCCCAGATCAAGGACTCTTGCTTCACGCTCAACCACTATCACCTCACGCACAAGCTCTACTCCACTTCCAGTGTCTCATCCCTGCCCACTTGCAACCCGCCCTGTTCGTTGTGATCGAGTCTCACAGTTCCTGTCAACGTCCTGTGGCACCTCATCATGTTGTACTCTTACACACCAACATGCATCCTTCTTGCATTCGCATTTGCTTCGCCGTTTCGTCATTCCGTCCTGCGCTTGAGACACGCCTCCTTTGTTCGTACAGTACAACCAACATTTCGGAAACCTCATGCAGAGATTCAATCAATATGGGAGCGGGAGCGTCGCTGGCAAGCGGACCAGCGGGGAGCGAGACCAAGATGGACATGATGGTACAGCTTGCGATGGAGTGGAAGATAGCAGAGCGTGTGGAGTGAGGCGTGGGATGCAACGTGGAGGAGGGTGGAGGTGGAGTGGTCTGGCATGGATTGAACAATGTCTCGGAAGGGATCGCGTGATGGCAAGCTGGGAATGGATGATGTTGTTGTACAATTGACCGAGTAATCACAAGGTGACCGAGAAGATACAGGGTGAAACGCCGAAAGATTGACTCGAAGTCCACCATAGAATCGCGTCGAGTTGCCAACACTGTGCACGCCACGTTTGCGTGAGAAGCTCCGTTTCCGCAGGGGTGACCAGTTCAGGTATCGGCGCCTCGGGATAAGAGACAAGCCCTTGATCGTCCCAGACGGCTGACTCGTGCGTTCCTGCGGATACTTGTCCCATTGATCGTTCTGGACGGTTCCTTCGCATCCGGGACGCGTACGACCCCTCACGTCCTCCCCACCCTCCCGGCCCAGCGCCACGACTCGAACGGGGCTTCGCCCTGGCTCGCGTTGGGGCTGGGCGCGCTGGCCATCCCCGCCGAGCTCGCCCTGCGGCGCTTGCTCAACCCTTCCGGATCAAGTTCCCATCCTTGGAAACCGCCGCCGGAGCTGGCATCGCCCACACCGATGTTGAGCCTGCCCATACCCCCCGACAAGCGCTCGACGGTGGACGGCGCGTGCGT